TTGTAGCGGATGCACTGAGCCGAAAATCCGTGAGTATATCAAGCATGATGATCAGAGATTATGATGTGATAGAGAGGTTCAGAGATATTCAATTATCTAAAATCTTTCCATGTAAAATTTGTGGCTTTGAAATCACGAGCATTGAGAATGAACTGATGACCAGAATCAAAGAAGCCCAGCTGCAAAATGAAAGCGCTAGACGACTAAAAGGTCAGAGTGGTGTATCCTGCAATGATGAGGGTATACTATTATATCAGGGTCGTGTAGTTGTACCTAGGCAGTTGGCGGAAGAAGTGATGACAGAGGCTCATAAGGGTCATTTTACAGTTCATCCGAGAGCTACAAAGATGTATCAGGACCTAAAGATGAATTTCTGGTGGCCTGGTATGAAGAAAGATATTGCCGAATTTGTCTCTAAGTGTCTCATTTGTCAGAAGGTAAAGATTGAGCATCAAAAGCCTTCTGGTATGTTGCAACCTCTGGATGTTCCTGAATGGAAATGAGAGAGTATCTCCATGGATTTCGTAGTGGGATTGCCGCGAACACAGGCTAGTTATGATTCTATATGGGTGATTGTGGATAGATTGACAAAATCCGCACACTTTTTGCCAGTTCGGGTAGATTTCTCTGCGGAGAGATTGGCTAGGCTCTATGTGAAGGAGATTGTGAGGCTTCATGGGGTGCCTGAAAGCATTGTTAGTGATCGGGACCCGAAGTTCACTTCTCGCTTCTGGGGAGCATTGCAGGAGGCTCTTGGCACTCAGTTGAGACTGAGCACTGCTTATCACCCACAGACGGATGGTCAGACTGAGAGGACCATTCAGACGTTGGAGGATATGCTGAGGGCTTGCACCCTGGAGCAGGGTACTGCATGGGATCGATATCTCCCGCTGGTTGAGTTTTCGTATAATAATAGTTTTCATGCTAGTCTGGGTATGGCTCCCTACGAGGCCTTGTATGGTCGCAGGTGTAGGACACCTACTTGTTGGTCAGAGGTTGGAGACACAGAGCGGTTTGGATTGGATTTTGTTCAGGAGACTACTGAGCAGATTAAAATGATTAAGGATCGTCTGAAAAAGGCTCAGGACCGTCAGAAAAGTTACTACGATCTCAAGCATCGACCTCTAGAGTTTGAGGAGGGAGATCATGTGTTCCTGAAGCTGTCATCGGTTACGGGTGTGGGACGAGCCCTTGGAGTGAGGAAGCTGAGTCCGAGATTTATTGGACCCTACCAGATTCTTCGTAGGGTGGGACCGGTTGCCTACCAGCTTGCCTTACCTCCGCAATTAGCAAATTTGCATGATGTGTTTCATGTTTCTCAGCTGAGGAGATACGTAGCTGATCCTTCTCATGTGGTTCAACCTGATAATGTTGAGATCCGGGAGAATTTGAAGACTCCTATTGGGCCACTGAAGATACTCGAAAGAGATGAGAAAAAGCTGAGAAATAAATCTATTCCTATGGTGAAAGTCCAATGGGAAGGAAGGACGCCTGAAGAGTCCACTTGGGAGCGGGAAGATGAGCTTCTCCGGCAATATCCTGAGTTTAAGGACATGTACGTTCTTGATTTTGCGGACAAAATCGCTAAAAGGTGGGGTGATTATAATAGACCAACTTAATTAATTAGTAAATCAAGTGTAATTAATTAATTAAACATGTTTTAGTGAGTAAAATTAAGTATAATGCTAAATTAAATGAATCTGAGTCACTTTGGAGTTAAAAAGTGTACTCAGTGAAAATTAAGGGGTATAAATGGGTACTGGCAAAAGTACCCAAAATATAAAAATAAAAATAGTAACATTCCTAGAATAATATTCCAGACTTTTGGGTAAAGTTTGGTAATTATTGGAGTTGAATAGATAGACAAACCAATACCCGCTTAAAGCCACTTAACCTATGTTAAGTGACTTAAGCTACCAAATGACCCCCATTTCCCCCAAGTCCCGTCGCCAGAAAACAAAGAAGGAGAAGAAGAAGGAGAAAGAAGAGGAAGGAAGGGAGGAAGAGAGAGAGAGATCAAACCTTGATGGTTTTGGATGATTCAAAAGCCTAAATCGCTTAGAATCTCGCCCTCTTTCATAATCCTAGCTTTGTTTTGAGTGGGGAGCATTGTGGAGAGAGATATTACCTCTCAAAAATTCGGCCCTTTGGTGAAAATTGGGGTTTTGAGAGTTTCTACCTCCATTGAAGCTTGAGGAGCCATCAATCTTTGGTTGTGTGACCATTGGTGGTAAGATTCTAACCCTTGAACCTCATGATTCCTTGAAATTTGCATGAGTTAGGATTTATGAATAGTAAATTGGGATTTTGATGAAATGTAGTTGAATTTGCTATGTTCTAGGAAGAATGAGATTTAGTGCATGTTGTAAGAAATGCTAGGAATGACATTTAATCGGTGGAAATGAGCCTAGATAGTCATTTGATAATTGTTCATAATATTGGAAAGTTCATGCTTGGATTGGTTAGTATTCTAGCATGTTGAACAATTGGTGAGTTGAATGATTGATTGTGTCCTAATGATGTCTAAGATTGAGACATTTGGACCGACCGTGAGTGATCAACCGCTTGAACAAGCTATGGAGCTTGAGTAGCTCATTGGAATTGGTAAGCTTGAAAACCGGCCGGGTCGTACCGGGTCGCATCGGTTCTGATGCATAACCGGTCCGTTGCTTCAACCGGACCGGTTATATGACCGGTTTACCGATTCCTAGGTCGACCCGGCCAGGTCGGTCCGGGTTTCATAACACTGGTTAAGTGTATATGTGATTAGGGCTGTGTATGGGTCAGGTCGGGTCAGGTTTTTGTCCGACTCGACCCAACTTGGTTTTTATAGGTCAGATATTTTGACCCGACCCGCTTTAATTTGATCCAAGTCAGGTCTGACTTGGATTGGATTTTGTTGAACTAGTTCAGAACCAGTTTGGATATGACCTGACTTGGTTTCTGAAGTGGGTCTAACTTGGTTTTTGAACTGGGTCAAATCTTACCTGACCCGTTTTTGACTTGGTTTTTGAACTGGGTCGGGTCACCAGTTTCCATGAAAACCGGCCGGTTCGTACCGGGTCGCACCGGTTCTGATGCATAACCGGTCTGTTGCTTCAACCGGACCGGTTATATGACCGGTTTACCGGTTCCCAGGTCGACCCGGCCAGGTCGGTCCGGGTTTCATAACACTGGTTAAGTTTATATGTGATTAGGGCTATGCATGGGTCAGGTCGGGTCAGGTTTTTGTCCGACTCGACCCAACTTGGTTTTTATAGGTCAGATATTTTGACCCGACCCGCTTTAATTTGATCCAAGTCAGGTCTGACTTGGATTGGATTTTGTTGAACTAGTTCAGAACCAGTTTGGATCTGACCTGACTTGGTTTCTGAAGTGGGTCTGACTTGGTTTTTGAACTGGGTCAAATCTTACCTGACCCGTTTTTGACTTGGTTTTCTCACAAAATTTTGTCCAAATTTTTACGTTGCAAAAGACGAAAATTTCGTTACAAAATTATTTTTTCGTCGAAATTTTTACAAAAAAAAATTTTCTATTGAAATTTAGTTTCCGTCAACAATTTTGACGAAAATTATTTCTTCCATCAAATGTTTTAAACAAAAAAAGAATTTTGTCAAAAAATTTGACGTAATGTTTTTCGTTCAAAATTTCGATGGGAACATGTTTTGACGAAAATTTTGACGAAAATTATTTCGAGGGAAATGTTTCATTTGAAACTTTCGACGAAATTTAGATTCTCTAAAGAATTTTAACATAATATTTTTTTCGTCAAAATATTTTTTTTGTCAAAAAAATTTACGAAATTTTTTTATAGAAATGTGTTTCGCTGAAAATTTGGATGGAAATTTTTTATCAAAAAACTTGACGAAAATATTTAGTTGAAAATTTTCGATTGAAATGTGTTTCGCTAAAAATTTCGACGATATTTTTTTTTTTGTTAAAAAATTTAACGAAAATTTTTTCGTCAAAAACTTTTGCCGAAATTTGAAATCTGTAAAGAATTTTGATGAATTTTTTTGCCGTCAAAATTTTTTGATGACGAAAATGTTTCCGTCGAAAACTTTCGCCAAAGTTTGAAATCTGTAAAGAATTTTGATGAAATTTTTTGCCGTCAAAATTTTTTGATAACGAAAATATTTTCGTCGAAAACTTTCGCCGAAATTTGAAATCTGTAAAGAATTTGGATGAAATTTTTTGTCGTCAATATTTTTTGCTGTCAAAATTTTTTGATGATGAAAATGTTTCGGTCGAAAACTTTTGCCTAAATTTGAAATCTGTATAGAATTTTGATGAATTTTTTGCCGTCAAAATTTTTTGATGACGAAAACATTTCCATCTAAAATTATCGCCGAAAATTGAAATATGTAAAGAATTTTAATGAAATTTTTTTCCGTCGAAATTTTTTGATGGAAATGTGTTTCGTCGAAATTTTTAATGAAAATTGTTTTGAGGAAAATGTTTCATTTGAAACTTTCGACGAAATTGAGATTCTCTAAAGAATTTAGACAAAATAATTTTTCTTTCAAAATTTCTTATCGAAATATTTGTCAAAAAATTTTAAGAATTTTTTTTACAGAAATGTGTTCCGTTGAAAATTTTGATGGATATATTCTTTATCAAAAAACTTGACGGAAATTTTTTCGTCGAAAGTTTTTATGAATATATTTTTTTGTGAAATATTTTGACGAGATTTAGATTCCGTAAAAAAAGTTGACAAAAAAAATATTCCGTCAAATTTTTTTACCTATATGTTTTTAGTCACAAATTTTGATTAAAATATTTTTCGTCAAAAATTTTTGCGGAAATTTTTATGAAAATATTTTTCATAAAAAAATTTGACGTAATTGTTTTACGTTAAAACTCTTCTGTCAAAAATTTTTGCGAAAATTTTTATGAAAATATTTTTCATAAAAAATTTTGACGTAATTGTTTTACATTAAAACTTTTCTTTTAATGTAATTGTGATTTTTTTTTTCACATAATGGGTATGAGTCAAGTTTTGGGTCAGTGGGTCAATATTAAAACGAGTCAGGTCTAAACCTGACCCAAATAAAAGTGGGTCAGTATTTAAACCAGTTCAAAAAATATGAGTATTTATGGGTCGGGTCAAGGTTGGATCAAGGGCAGGGCAAGTGAACCAGTTTTTTTGCACACCCCTATATGTGATGTTCTACTTCATCGTACAACTATCCCTGCAAGCAGAACGTCTGACTTGAAGTACTACGAGCATAGACATTATATAGACTTGAAGAATGATTGCACGGAAGAAAGAACTGGAGAATCGTGAGAAGGATCTGCAAAAGCGTCAAGCACAAAATGAAAATGAAGAAAAGGAGCTAGATCTCAAGAAGAAAAATGTAATCTATTTTGCCTGTGTAAATTTATAGATAAGCTAGTCAATTGTGTCAAATTCCAAACACCACCCCCTCTTATTTTAATAATTTTAAGACTGGTGGACTTTGATCTTCATCTTTGTTGTTTGCAGAATGAGATGGCAATAATGGTGCAAAACAAGGCTGATGAGAAAGTGATGTTGGCTCAAGAACAAAAGGCACGACTTCCATTTTCTTGTATCTACAGTAGTTAATTCAGTTACATGTATCATTTAAAGATTTAAATTCTGACTTGATCATTTTGAGGCTAAGTGTTGCAGAAAGAAAAGAAGAAACTGCATAAAAAAATTCATGAACTACAAAGAGAACTCGATGCCAAACAAGCATTGCAATTGGAGATTGAGCACTTGAGAGGAGCTCTTCAAGTAATGAAACACATGGAGGAGGATGAAGATGTGGACGAGAAGAAAAAAATGGATGCAACTAAATTGGTTCTGCAGGATAATGAGGAGGAATTGGAAGCAATGAAAGAACTTCAACAAACTCTTATTGTCAAGGAGCGTACAACCAATGACGAGTTGCAAGATGCTCGCAAGGAATTAATAAGTGTATATATATTTTTCCATACATAAATGTGACTCTCTTCGATGTGATTATGTGTATAGGCTTTAACTCATCCAATGGTCTGAAAATCAACTTTGGAAGGTCTTCTCCAACTAATCATTTTCAAAACCAGAATAGAGAGGGCTGTATTTGTATAAAATATGTCGTAAACCTTACCACACATACAAGGTTGTTTGCATTTTTTAATTGACATATAACTGCTAATATATTCATTATAACAGAGTGTTTCATGTTTAGTAGTCTACATGATCTTGTAATTTGTGAACATTCTAATCATGCAGTTGGAGTCATATTCAGGGTACACTGACATAGGTGATTTGCTATAATAACTTATAGCAATCTGGTTGCACGTATTTGCAATGCAAATGCTTTATATACTGTGTTTTTGCTCCTGTTTCTATATTTAAGGAATTTAGGTTTTTTAATGGTTCAATCCTATTCTGTGAATCATGTGGTTGCTTGGTTCTCCTTTGTCGATTTGCCATACAATTGTGTCCAAAGGAGATGATTTTAATCTATAAGGTTTAACATTTTAGGTAAAAATTGGTTGAATTAGGTCAGTTAGCTTGTTGTTGTGTGCTACCATGGTTTAGTTGTTTGTATTTTCAAGTAATCTAATTTCCTTGTTCGCAGAGCATAGGGAAGACAAAGAGGACTCGGGCTTTTATTGGTGTGAAAAGAATGGGGGAGCTTGATAGTAAGCTGTTTGTGAAAGCAGCTAAGAGAAAATTTTCTGATGATGAAGTGAATGTGAGAGCTGTGGAGTTGTGCTCACAGTGGGAGGCTTATCTTAGAGATCCAAGCTGGCATCCATTTAAAATTGTATCAGATAAAGAAGGAAACCCCAAGGTACAATGACTTTAAGACTTACATGTGTTCAAATGGACGTCATCTTTTTTATCTATTGTGGTCATTTTAATTGTGAACACCTGATTGCCTTATTATACATGCTAAGAAATATTTAAAAAACGCAATATATCACTTCGTAATAGTTACAAAGCAAGGTATGTTGTAAGTGTTGTTTTAAGGATCTATTGTCAGAGCAAGGTGCTGGTCATCTCTTTAGCACTTGATTGGAATTTTTCTTTCCCTGATGCTCCGTACACGGACCATGACCTAGATATATGTTGGATATGCAGGAAATTTTAGATGAAGAAGATGAAAAACTAAGAACTTTAAAAGATGAGTTTGGTGATGAGGTCTTTGGAGTGGTGGCTACAGCTCTGATGGAGTTGAATGAGTACAACCCCAGTGGTAGATATCCATTACCGGAGCTATGGAATTTTAAGGAAGGAAGGAGGGCTTCGTTGAAAGAGGGTATTTCACATATAATCAAGCAATGGGAATCGTTAAAACAAAGGAAAAAGCGGGGCTTCATTTAGGTGGTTTGAATTAGAACTGATATGCAGAACTTCAATTTAAATTCTTGTTCTAACGTAATCGGATTTAGTTCAGAAATATAATGCAAATGTTAGATCATAACGTGACTGTTACTTATAATACTACATATCATATTATATATGGATATTTTTATTTGGAGCAGATATTATATAGTTATTTTATTTAGATCTCTAAATATCTTCATTAGCAATAAAAAGTATCTTTAATATAATTCATGTAATTTTATCATATTTACGTTGAATAGAGATCAGGGAGGAAGAACGGTGTGCTTTTTCCGGATTATGCAGTTTGTTCTCATTTAAAGATTATGTGAGACAGGAAGCGTTAGATTTTTGGTCCATAAGTGATGGTAAATTTGTTCATTTATTGCCTGTGCATTTACAAATTCACAATGATCCACCTGCCTGTATCCATTACTAATGCATCTAGTATACTTTCCAAGTGAGCTGCAATCTAAGGACCCATGGTCTGTTCTATTGTGGAGGATTATGATCGGCAACTTATCCTTCTTAACCTTTATTCTAAGAAGGCTAAACAACGTAGTATTTCAGCAGAGCCAAGAAGACATATAATTCTGATTAAAATTAGACCTATGGAACAAACTTACTAGCAGCAATTTCTAATCCCTAAACATAAATTTGGTTCTCAAAGAAAAAAGAATTTTTTTCAAGGGCAATTAGTCAGCTGTGAATTAGAGTTAATGAAAAACTTCACAAGGCAGAGACGCAACGATTTTGAAAGCAAGACTCATGAAAAGAAAATGAACATAATGACTGAATGGTGAAGGAAAAAAAAACAATTATATTGGAAAAACAGAAACATTGTCTTAAAATCCAAACACTACCTCTCATCTCGTGACTTTTCCTCAAGAAGAAGCCACACTTGCACTTTGAAACTGGAAGCAAGGAGGTCTGTTATTGGGAGAGACCGCGGCTCTCAATTCCAACAACCTCAAGTAATTCCTACAATAAATAAAAATGATATTAATGTGAGTAAAAGTTAAAAAAATTAAATCAAATCTAAGAAGTTTATACTTCCAACTTCGAACCCTTAGAGCGTGTTTGGTGTGATGTATAAGGCCTGATAGTATAAGCTTATACTATACATTATAACATTTTCAATTGTTTGGTGTAACCATAGTATAGAATAAGCTTATACACCAAGACCCTTTAATACATCAAAATGATGTATAAGTCAATCAAGTCTAGGGAGGTGGGATTAGACATGATAAGGTATTGATGTATTAAGTTAATCCCTTCCTTCCCCTTCTACCCTTTTTCCTTCTTCATCCCCTTTCTTCCCCTTCCCCCATTTAACGGAGACGGCAGCAACACGCCGGTGCGGCAGGCTTCGGAGACAACATTGGTGGGGACTTGCTGTTCAACTCTGTGACGGACTAGTCGACCTTGCGATCGGCGATCGACGTACCTGAAAAGCTCGGCGGGGACAAGAAAGAGAGAGAGGATTTGGAACACACAAGAGAATAGATGTTGTTCAATTTCTCTATAGCAACACATGAAATCCTTTCTGTACTTGCAGGGTATGTTACCAACGGTCACTATGGTGAGGTTCTCTATCGGTATTTGGAGCAATGGAAATTTGGTTTGTGTGGCTCAACCATTACGTTTTGTTTGAAAAGTTGTGTTGCTTTAGGGAGGTTCTAATGTGGAAGAGGGGTCCATGTTGATTCCTTAAAGCTTAATTTGAACTCTGATTGTTTTGTGGGTTCTTCTCTCATTCAGTTATATTCCCAGTATGGGAAAATTGAGGATGTATATAAGGTGTTTGACGAAACTACCAACAAAGATCTTGTGGCTTATTCGTCCATGATTACTGCCTATGCTCACTGTGGGGGCTCATGTGCTTATGGGGCCTTCCGGATTGCTTACTCAATGTAGGAGAAACAACTGCATCCCAATCGACTAACATTAGTGAGCTTACTGCATACAGCAGTGAAATTGGGATCCCTGCAAGAAGCTCGTGCAATGCATGGCTATGCCATTAGAAAAAAAAATGGCTTGTTGGATGAGATTTTTGAGACAGCCCTCCTCGATATGTATCATAAATGTGGGGATTTAAGGATGGCTGACTTTATTTTTGGCAAGATGGATACTACAACGGTTGGTTCTTGGAACACTTTGATAATAGATTATCTTCATAATGGACAGGCTTTAGAAGCTTTTGGCCTTTTTTGTCAAATGATGCATAGAAAGATGATTTGTTAACCTTAGCCAATGCAATTCTTTCTTGTGCCAACTTGAATTATTTATGTGAAGGAAAGAGTATCCATGGATACATGCGGGTAGAACCTGATCTGGTGGCTAGTACTGCTTTGGTTGATCTATACTCTGAAAGGTTGGGGAATAAGGATGCTGTAATATGTAATGTTATGAATCTTATGATGACTGGCTATCTTTTGTATTTAAATTTAAATTGTAACTTAAAGTTATGTAATTTTATATTTTAATTTGTTGAAAGTTATTATATACTTTTGTGTTTCAATTATGTATTCTATTGTGACTTTTATATAATTTGTTTAATCAGCACTGTAGGGAATATAGAAATTTTTTTCTATCAAATTATACAATTACAATAGATTTTTATAAAAATTAATATCATATGAGATATTTATAAAAATTTTATTAAAAGGTATTTTTGTCAAGAATATTTATTTGTATTCTATCTGGTATTATAGAATATATTATCTTATACAATATCATGTGTCAAAACGATGAATAGTATTAAAATTTAATCAAATCAGATCTTATACTATCAAGCCTTATCCTATCATGTGCACCAAAGATGCCCTAAAATATCTTCCTCCACTTTATAGGCGAAGGTCATGACTAATGGTCATTGAGAACATGCTTCCTTGCCCCTTTTAACTAAATACTAGGGCATAAAGGTTCTGCGGTGGCTTATTTACACTTCTGATAATTTCTTAGCCAGTTAGTTATGCAACAAACTTATACTCAAGATTCAATAATGTGTTCGTTTATGATTCAAAGATAGCATAAAACAAAAACTGAAATCTTCGATCTCTAAGGAAGAAACCAAAAATCAACCACGAATACCTGGTTAGACGGACGGAAGCAAAGAATCACTTTAAGTCTCGCAGTTCCGATTATTCTAGCAGCAGAGAACAATGCGAGGTTAGTAACTAACGTAACGCACCAAAAGCAGATAATTGTGATTGGTGAAGAGTGAAGATAAACGATGATAAGATTCGGATGAGATGAATAGAAGAAGAAAAAGATCAATTGGATGGAACGAATACGAGGAAACCAACGACCTTAGATCTCTTTTGGTGCGAGACAAATGAATGGCTTTGTTTGAATTGTTTCTGGTTTGTAACTGCCTCTCTTCACCTTCACGCACTCCTTTCAGGAACAATGATCAGCTGCATCGCACGCACCTGTTCCGATTTTACCACTTTCATTTCGCTTCGTACCTTCTCTATTTTTCCCTTTAAATTATGAGGTGAAGATAAAATAACTCCACCGTCAGATACCTCGAAACATTGAACAGTTCTTAAGTGCTGATAGGCTTAGTGATTTTTTTTATGTTTCAAACAGTGTTTATGTAATTTTTAATTTATGTACTGCATCAAAATCTTGATTTATTATTATAATTTTATGTTTTTATAAAAAAAATTCATCAAAAATAATTTTATTAATATTCCAAAATACTTTTATATTTTTATGATTTTTTTACATTATAATTTTATGTTTTACGTTTTTTCTCTCTCTCTTAATTTTACATAAAATTTCAATTTTAACTATCTTGATCGGTCTAAGTCTCTCCTTATTTATAAATAAATAAATAAAATAACTCATAAAATTACTCTTTCATTACATTGTGTTGGAAAAAAAAGTATAATAAAAGAAAATTACCATTCTTATCATTCCATTCCCTTTCATTAAAACTTCTAAATAAGAAAATAAAAACTTTTATCCACTTCATCGTCTTTAAATAGAACAAATTTTCGTTGAAACGGAAAAAAGGTTTTGAAACTTAGATTGTAATACAAATTAAAAGTTGGGTTCAAATGGAAAAAAAAAAATCCACTCTTAGAAAAAAGGAGTACCTAAGTGGATACTACCAAAGATTTACTCCTTTAAATATCTTAACAGGAATACGTGATCGTTATTTTACTAAATGTCATTTTATTACATTGAATATCATTCCTTATCGTAAAACATACAAAGCAAATCAAATCAATTTAAAACTATGGAATTTAAAGTAAAATAATATAAAAGTTTAGGTGCCCAATTATAACCAAATCATTAGCCACTTCTTGTTATACCAGTACAATGGCACAATAGATTTACAATGGCACACTAGATTTAGTCCAAGAATGCTCAAACCTCTACACTAAAACAAGAATCAAGACGAATTTAGGGTAAATGAGGCAAGGCACCTCAACAAGCAAGATAGCATTATTCGGGTAATCAAAATTACAAAATCTATACCATTTCTCAAAGAGGAGAAATGATTAAAAGTTGTACTGTGATGAAACTATATATGTTATGCAAAAATGTAATAATTGACAGAAATAAATATCTAAGTGTCTTAGATTCTATTTTATTTTTTTCATCACCATCTTGTGCTGTATGGGTAAGACGTCAATACTTCTTTCCCAGCATAAGCACCTGAAGTTTGTCATATCCCGCAAGCACACCAGCACCTGCGACTGCTCGAAGGATGTTTGCACCAGCACCCTTGAAGAGAGATTTAGGACCTTCATTCTTGACAATTTGCGAGAATGCATCGAAAGAGCTCTTGTACTTGACAGCTTCACCTGATGTCATCATCATTCTTCTACGAACAGTGTCAAATGGGTAGGAAGCAACGCTAGAACCAGTAGTAACGAGCCATCCAAGAGCAAAGCTAGCTAAGAAACTATCCTGAAATTTTGGGGGAAAAAAAAACAGAAAAAACCTTAAACAAATGAAACAAGCAATATTAGAACTAAGGTGAACTTAAAAAGGGTAATGTCTCACGTGCAATGTTCCGACCAAGAGCACTGGCTTCAAAGAATCATACATTCCAAAGTATAAACCACGGTAGACAGTGATTCCAACTAAAGAAATGTAGAAGCCACGGTAGAGACCAGCAATACCATCAGATTTAAGAGTTTTCTTGTAGACATCGACCAAACCATTGAATTGCCTCTCTCCACCCTTTTTTCCAGCTTTGGCATCATTGGCAAGGCGGGTTCGAGCATAATCCAATGAATAAACAAAGATTGATGATGAAGCTCCTGCTGCAGCACCAGATGCTAAGTTACCTGCAAACCATTTCCAGTATCCATCCCTGTCTTTCTTGAAGCTAAATAGACTCTTAAAGTAGTCTTTAAATGCAAAGTTCAGGGCCTGTAAAAGAATTTGACATAGGCCTAATAAACACAAAGCTAAGGGACAATGCAAAGTTCAAGTACATGAAACAATTGAAGGAATGACCCTAAGTATTTAACCAAAAGCTTAAACTTATAGATGAAGCTATATTAATCGTTTTATATTTTTCTAACATATCCAGGCTTGAAGAGTGAATGATAGAGTGAATGACCCTAATGATTTTATAGTGTTCAATTACAAACCTGTGTTGGGAAGTAACGGATAACATTGGCAGTGTTCCCTCTATATAATGCAACAAATCCTTCATCTTTGATTGTTCTTCCAAAACAATCTCCAATGCCCTTGTAAGGTTCGGATAGCCTACCAGCCTTAATCATCTCATCCTGATTTTGAATCAGAAGCTTTACACGCTCAATTGGAGCAGCTGCAGTCTTGGACACTGCTGCAGAAACTCCACCCATGAGAAAATCAGTAGCAAAGCTTGAAAAGTCTTTCTTTTTCTCTGATGGGGATTGGACAAACACGGGTGAAGCAGCTGAACCTACAGAATGCATATTACTTGTAGCTTTGCATGCAGGCATAACAGGACACTGCAACCCTGCGTTTGAAAAATTATTGAATGAAAACTGTTGCTGAAATTGAGCAAGCCCTTTCAAATCTCCATAATAAGTTGCAACATGTGGGGAAATGGTGGATCTCAAATGAATCTGCCCAGAAAACTTTTGTACGATTGTTGGGTACTGGTGCCTATCAGCCATCACTGCTTGAGTGCTTGGTATTACTATTAAGTATTAACCCCACTATAAACTGCAACAAAACAAATTATGTTAAGCTATTTATGGACTTAAATGAAATCAAGACCTTGGTTATTTGAGAGTTCAAGAGTAACACGGAATTCCAATTAACATGTAATTAACTAATTATCATGCAATGAAATCAAGGTCCTTAGCATTCCAACAAGGTGACTGAAACCGAATATTCCAAGCACTTTTGTTTTTATACCAATCATACATGCAGTCGAGTTCAACTTCTATACTCCTAAGCAACCAACTTTTTATCTGGTCAAACAAGCAATTTGCCTCTTTTAAGTAAGCCACCTACCTAGAGAGGCAAATTGTAGGAAAAAAAGTATAACTGGACCCACAAGCAAGAGGAGAGAGAAAAAAGAGTGGTGAGACCCAATCCCTTTTTGTGTGTGTAGCAGAGTTGTTTATCTCATGTAAAATGAGATAAACATAACCGATATATATATATATATATATATATATATATATATATATAAGACAGGATCGTTTGACACCGGTGTCAAATTTTAAAATTTTTGACACTAAATCTCAACAGTTGATTTTCGTCAATCAACGGTTATCATTTATTGGGAATTGATAGTAATTAATAAATTTAATTCCTAATAAATGATAACCATTGATTGGCAGAAATCAACGGTCGGAATATATATATATATATATATATATATATATATATTACAACATTGAAATAAAAATCCAGTTGGACCATGTTAAACCAGCTAAACCCTAAAGACCAATACTTTACCCGCATTGATTACCTTACCACACATCTACCTCAATCAGCAGCTCAATACTTTATCATAGAAATCCATGCATAAAGATCATCTGATGAAACATATATGTCAATATTTATGCAGATAAAACCAGACTTCAATTGGAAACACAGATCAAAATCAATTAGCAACACAATCAAGTAAAGATAGGGACTTATAATAAACATAAATGGATCCAAATAAACAAACCAGCTTAAACCATTACCCGAGAGCTCAAAAGGAAAAACAAGTCACAGAAAACATTAACGCTGGTGTAAAGAGAAGCATAGAGTTATATAGAATGACAAACAAGGCTGACAAAGAGATTGTACTTTTGGACTTGGCTTCTGGAATGTGAACACAGGATAAACTTTGAAAAAGAAGCTTTTGAATGAAAATGTCCCGAGGCTTGAGGCAATTTCTCCTACCTTAGTTAAGATGAAATTATACTATTATAAATCTCTGGGCTTTAAAGCGTGGTGACTGGTGGGCACAAATCCCGCGGTGATGGAGCAACAAGTTGACTTTTCATTTTAGAATGGATGTGTGAATGCTACAAATTGAGAAATGGAAAGGAAAGTTCGTTGGATAATTGACATTCCCATGTTCTAGAAGACTTTTTTCAAGCGGACTAATTTTGACAAAAATATTATCCTGGAACCTTGGGACAGTTTTGGTTGTGCTTACTTTTCAAATGCTGATTAATATATTAATCCGAATGAAAAGAAGTTCGCAGTTTAATATATTTCTTCCTTACAATTCTTTTCTATGATATAGTTTTTAAATGATATTGCTGCTTTTGATATATCACGTAAAATTTCTCAATATAGACTAAGAGGTTGTTTGTATTGACTTAGGAAGAAAGTCCTTTTTATTAATTTCTTATTTTAAAAGTACTTTTTATAAAAGTTACAGCTATTTAAATTTTAAAAAAAAAAATTATTTTTTGAAAAAAATATTTGACTTTTAACTTCTGCTTTTTTTAAAAGCTAAAATTTTTAGCTTTTGAAAAAAGTAAATTTTTGACTTTTTTTTATGACTTTTGTTTTTTTTATAACCAGGCATCCAAACAGACTTTTTTTGAGAAGTGCTTTTTTTTTATATAAAAAAGTAACTTCTGAAGAAGAAAAAAAAACCATCCAAACGGGCTCTAAATTTTCTGATCGATTCTATCATTCAATTCATTATCTACTTAAAAATCCCCAAAAATAAGAAAGTGATTCAATATTCATTAATACTTAAAAACGCGGGTATTGATTTCTCACGTCCCACCAACCCATTTTATTTCTTAAGCAAATTAATAAAAGATAAGAAGTTACGGAGAAAGGAAACCAGAAATAGGTTTGAAGTCTGTCAAATAAACCAGAGGTTCTAATTTCACATATCACGATTCATAATCTATCAAGGCTTATACATTAAAACAAAAAAATGCACTCACAAAAACAAGACAAGTATATACTTGAATTAGTTAATTTTTTTTTTGAACAGTGAATTAGTTAATTTTGTATTCAAAACAACCTAAACTTTTTTATTTTTTTTAAACGAAGTAATGATTTCTTCAAAAATAATCAAAACAAAACACGCTAACATGTTATCCTCTTGACCGGTCCAAAACTTACGCTTGACTGCAAAATAATAATAGTAATAATAAAGAGAAGGAACAAATAAAAATACTCCGTTGATGACAAAAAACATAGACCAAAACAAAGAAAAGCGTCCATTCAAAAACACAGCAAAGGAAACAAAAGCCTTCAAGAAGGTTTATCAGAAAAAATGCATCCGTCTTGGAGCGTAGAACAGCCCTTATATATATGGGTTCGAAAGAACTCAAATTAGACTAGTTGGGTAATCAACAACTCCCTGTAAAAATGCATAGCTTAAAATTGATCATGCATGCTTCATGTAGCTACTTAATGTAACTAAGTTACAATAAGGTCGGAAAAATACAACCACGCCCAGGGATGCCGGATTGCCGGTAACCTGTTTTTTCCGGAGTTTGCACCATTATTTTTCTGTATTATATACAGTCGCAAAGCCAAAAATTAAGTCATGCATGCGGTATGTACTACATAATGCAACAAAGTTATAATTAAGCTGGTGACATACAAGTTAAAATCACATCAATGATGATCAATAAAAGCTCAAGTTCCTTAGAGCAACATGCACATAATTAAGCTGGTGACATACAAGTTAAAATCACATCAATGATGATCAATAAAAGCTCAAGTTCCTTAGAGCAACATCCATCCGTTTATGTGTCAGGCAAAATCCCACATGCCAATATAATATTATCAAATGAGGTAAAGAGCGCCACTAGTATGGCAAAAAAAATATTTCTTAACATTCCAAAATGAATTTACGCTTCTTTACTCAGTTTCTAACGTCCCAGCGCTGCAGCAGGGAAAAAATAAAATTGATAACATTATATCTTGTTCTTAAAGATGGCGATAATTCAAAAGGGAAATGTCTGGCGAACTCACTTCAAAACCATATAAATGAAAACCCAAGATCAAATAAGTATATCATTCATTTTCAAATCAATGTAATTCTAAATATATAACCTACCATGTTAGTTCAACTATTTTAACCAATTATGAAACATATTAAACAATAGGGTTTCATTTCATACATTATTTAAGCATTGATGACCGAATCCCTCCAGAGAAGGAGCTACTGCTGTCCGCCCAAGTTGATGTGGTCCCTTCCTTGCGGCCTGTTGATTCCAAGAGATGCAGGGTCTAAGGACATCTCAGCCATACTGAAATCTATCTCGTGCTCTTTCTGCTTCAGTTTCAAAACTCTGCACTCATTTTCTAATTTCATTCTCTTAATCTCCAACCTCAGCCTCTCCAACTCCCTGTCCTTCTTGCTGCGGTATCTTAACCACTTAAACCATTGTTTCTCAAGTTCAAGAGCTTCAGCTTGGTAGCTGACATGTTGCTCTTGAAGCTGCAACATCTGTATCTTAAGCCACTCTCTTCGTTCCAACGATGACTTCGTGGGGTCTTGAAAAACCCTTGCCATTTCAACCTCAAAGTTATCCATCCCAACAGATTGTCGCCAAAATTGGCCATCCTCCTCATTTGATTTATTCCCATCACGGAGCTCCCGCATCCTCCCTCCATCCCCATGTGCATTAATATTAATTTCATTATCCAACTCATCATCCCCACTTTCATTGTTATCCTCAGCTTCATCCTCAGAGCCATCATTATCTCTTGAGTCCCTCCCAAGTTCCAGAGCATAACCCTGTAAGTCAAGGTCATGGCAATTTGACATCCTTTGCCCATTATGGTAGGCACACATCTCCTTATAAAACAAGTGTTTTGAGCTCAATATCTTTCTAACATCATCCTTAGCCTTAGCTGTCAGGTTATGCATGGAATCCATCAGTGCAGGATTCTCAACCACTTGGCAACAAGTTCCCCTTCCAAGTATATCATTCAACCTCTTGTACCTCTTATTCAAGTCATTGAACTTGTCCTCACACTGCTGTGGCGAGACATGACAACCCTTGCTTATCATTATCTTGGAGACGGTTTTCCACTTGCCCTTCTTTTGTAAAGCCCCGTATTTCCTTTTATGACCATCCATGCCACCAATTGTGCCATCCTCGCCCACACAACTCACCACTGCAATAAGAAGCCTAACCACTTCGTCCGTCCACTTCATTCGCTGCCATGGAGACCCTTTCTTGCTCTTCCTGCCATCTAAGTTCTCGCAATTCCCATCTTCTGCATAGCATGGCTCATCTTCTTCGCTCAAATCATTACTATTGGCAGGATTAGAAGTAACAATCCCCTTTCCTTTATTCAAATTCATCGCAGCATTCACTTCAATCAGGTCAATTGGGTGATCATTTTCCAGACCACTCATAATATTCATATGCTGTTGACTAGGTACTGATGGATGACCTAATTGGGTCTGTTGGTGCCTATGAAACGGAGATTCCAGGTCCAAAATCCCCCCACCAGGACCAGACAAAAAACCACCACCCAAACCCGAACTATTCATTCTTGGAACACAATACACAAACCCTAATTCTCAAATTTGGGATGATGATAGAGGGGAGGCTAGAACTGAAACTGAAATTTGAATTGGGTTGTGATTGAAACAGTATTTATTTCAAGTTGACTACGCCTGACACCACCAGAAAACTGAAAAACCAAAATAAAAAAATCATACATCCTCTCAGAAACCAAAAAAAAAGGCACAGAATTCGCAAACAGGTAATAACCAAACACATTAACTAGTAATCACAACTAGCTTGGTCTGATGCATGTGTGAGGTGAACAGAAGAAAAGAACAGATACCGTTAAGCACAAATTGAAATCCCCAGCATAAAGTCTAAGCAGATATTCATTGGGATTAGAAGCAAAAATTGAGTGACAACATCTGAGATGAATTACAAATCTCGTTTGAGATTACCTGGTGATGACTGATGATCAGTAGCACAGTAAAAACACCAACAGTAGCAGAAGAGAGAGAGAGAGAGCGTTTTTGTTTAGTGAGGGCTGGGGGACCGAGTTCCTCGTAAATTATTTAAGGGTTTATTAATATAATTAATATAACGGAGATAAGTTATCTCATGTCATAAATATACACTCGCGGAACAGCTGAAAAAATAAAAAGAAGAAGGTGGCACAATTATCAAAGAATATGTAGGAGAAAAAAATTATCTCATGTAACATATGAGAATAGTTTTTCCCATTATTTAAACATCATTTTATTAGACAATTTTCTTTATTTTTAAAAGAAGAAGCATCTGTTTATTAAAAAAAAAAAAAAGGAAGGATCTGTTTACAATTTTTTTTAAATTTTTTTTACAAATTACACTATGTTCTCCTGGGAGAACATAGTGTAAGTCAGGGTGTTAACGGGCCGAGCCGAGCCGAGCTTTGGTCTTAAAAGACTAAGCCTGTGTTTAAATATGTCAGCCTGATCAAGCCTGTTACCTGTTATGAATATAATTTCAGCCTGTGGCCTGTCTTATTTACAAAAAATAAAAGCCTTCTTTAGCCTATTTAAAACAAAAGAAGACAACAAAAATTTATCCAAATAAAATATACAGTCAACAGCACTAGTAATTCCATAAATATTCATAAATTTAATGTATATCCAAACAATATAATAGAAAACAAAATCATTCAAAAAGTCTGTTTAATTAATAAAATGGGATAAAATAGATTGAGGAGAGAGAGGGCTATCACAAGTAGTATAAAAAATATAAAATAAAAATAAAAATTAATATATTAGGCCAACTTGAGAGGCTCTAAGGCCGAGCTTTTAAATTGGAGCCTGAGACTTTTTTATTAAACGAGCTTTTATACAAGTCCAAGTCTGGTTCCAACAATCAATTCTAGACATAAAAGTTCAGGCCTTTACTAGCCGAGCCAAAGGCCCCTGGCTCGTTTAGCACCCCTAGTAACTAGTGTTCTCCCGGGAGAACATAGTGTAGTTTATAAGAGTTTGTAAACGAAAAAGTTTGTAAATATAACTTGTCCCTAAAAAAAATTATAAATTTTTGCAAATTATACTCTGTATTCCCGAAAATATATACTGTAACTTAGTGTACTTCTGGACAGTGTAATTTATAAGAGTTCGTAAACAAAAAATTTATAAATATAACACTTCCCATTTTTAAAAACTTTAACATTAAATTCTTCGTATTATATAGATGGAAAAAATATTCCAATTCTTACCCTAGATAATTTTATCTGCAGTAACTCAAAATGATGTTATTTTATAATTAGAAAAGTATATATTTATTATCTTTTTTTTCTTATTCTTACTATTAAATTTTAACCTTTATTTTTCATCAATTTAATGATTATAATTTATTAAAAATTAATAATTAATTAATAAGTGTAACTCAATACATTATAACTATTAAATTGACAGAAATCAACGGTTAAGATTTGATAGTAAGAGATAATAAAAAAAATAAGAATAACCACCCCTTTATAATTTAAGGTTAAAAATAAAAAGTATTTTGAAAAGAATATTTTGGAAATTTTACTTTTATTTTTCTCTTATATCCTAAATTTTACTAAAACGCTCTTTATTTTTAATCTTTAACCATAAAAACAATATTATTTTGGAATTACAAGATAAAATTATCGTCTATTAAGAGAGAAACCTTGCTCCGTATAAAAGTATTTTACACTTAAGTTTAGTTCTTAAGGTAGTGTTTGGTTGGGAGCTTTTCAGCGGATATCTATGTTTCTCAAGTATGGCTTTTAGAAACACCATGTTTGTTTGAACGTATTTTCACAAAAACTCATCTATCCAATTTGTCTGGATTTATGAGAAACATAGATATCCGCACTGTTTAGAAACCCAATTTGAAGGTGGGATTTTTCGGAAAACCGGTTATCTGGCTTTTAATGCACTGTTGATTTAATAAAGTTACCTAATTTTCCCAGTAAAGTTTTTTCCCACCAAACAACATTTTTTTACATTTGTCTACCTATTTCACTTTATCTATCTTTCCAATCATTTCTCTATCTATTACATTTCCCTACTATTCCAAAAAAATTTCCTCAACCAAACGCCCCCAAGAGCACAATTTACGAAGCTATTATTAATGGCCAGCTTTTATTTTGCGTTATATTTGACAAAAAAAAACACACTTATTGATTACAGGTTTTGACTCGTTACATAAATTTTTCTTTAGTTTTTTTAAATCTTATACAAACTTTCTTAATTATATTTCATTATAGTTAAATTTCTTTTTCTTTTTTTCGGTATAAAAATTTCTTTTATTATAGTGAAAATTTTAAATTGTTAAAAGCTTAAACAATAAAAAATTTAAAATAACATTAGAGTAATACAAAATAATAATAATGTAAATGTATTAAAAACTTGGTAGGAAGTACTTTACCATTCAAACAGTATTATCTGACTTAAATTGTACTAGTCGTCTAATTAATAAATCGATAGATAATAGAAAGAAAAAAAAAATCAAGTTATGCTTGCATATTTTTCAAATAAAGGAAATTACTTTAAAATTATTGCAACGAAAACTCACTACATGCTAATAATACAGATCAAAAATAATTTATTGAGATCAATTTTTAATAATTAAATAATAAAAGCAAATTATATTTTTATTGTATTAAAATATAATTCATTATATAAAAATAACGTAACTCTACTTATGCCACTCTCATTTTATTATATTAAAAGTGTGGCAAAAATCGTGGTTAAATTTAATTTTCAATAATCAACTCATCTTTTATAATTTTCGGTTATTAATTGATTTTAACATCGAAATGAAAGTCAAGGACAAAGTAAGACAATTCTATAAGCTTATTATCCTCTTGTACATTTGCTCTTGCATGTAAATTGATCATTAATACATTAACTCTTTCAAGTCTCACCATTAACACTCTCTTTAATAACATCGGGAACCCCCACATGCATCTATCACAAACCAAAGACCAACACATAGAATTTCCTCAACATTCATACATATGCCACTAACCATATTGCTCTAGAGATAATAGAAGAACAATAGACATTTCAAAGTGTAAATAAAATATTTTAATTAATTGAAAATTGATTATCTCTAAGAGAGGCATTCAAAATGCTAATGCACTAACAATGCTTAAAAGTTTTTTTAGATATTCTAATCGATTCATCACTTTATGACTAGTTCGATTCGGAGCGAGTCCCGAAATTAAGACTTTAAACTCCTTCTAATGATAAAATTGGAAGAATCCAACATATGCTATCACCTTGCTCAGTTTTTGGGCAATGACTTAATAGTTAAGTTTAAATCAATTAATGGCAAGAGTTACAAGAGGTGCATTAATTGACATTGAAATCACTTAATGAAAGAACAACAACTTCTTCAAAATGTAAAAATAATATTTTAATTAAACAGAAATTGACCATTGGGAGAAGTGATATTGAAAATGCTACTGCATTAACGATGATGTAATAGTTATTTTTAAATCAAGTAATGATGAGAGTTACAAAATTGATGTTGAAACGACTTAATCAACATTTAAAATATAAATACAAAATATTCTAATTAATTAAAATTTGACTTGAAGGAGAACTGACATTGAAAATGTTAATACATTAATGACAAATTAATAATTATGTTTAAATCAATTAATAGTGAAAGTTACAAAGAGTTACAAGAGGTGAACTAATCGATGTAACCAACATTTCAAAAGAGCAAACATAAGCATTACTCTAATATTTTTTGCAAATTGCAAATAGGTTATTTCTCAGAAATCTTGACTTTCCAATGACAAAGCCACCTTACCATTGGTCCAAGGCTCATCCTTCACCTTTCAAAATATGAAAAAAATACTTTAATTAATTAGAAATTGACCATTGGGAGTATATACATTGAAAACACTAATGCATTACTGACAGTTTAATATTTATGTTTAAATCAATTTATAGGGAGAGTTACAAGAGGTGAATTGATTAACATTGAAATTATTTAATAAGGGAACAACCAACGTCTCAAGATGAAATATATATATATATATATATATATATATATATATATATATATATATCGGGGGAAGGATCCGTTTACAAATTTTTTTACAAATTACACTATGTTTTTCCAAGAGAACATAGTGTAATGAGTGTTCTCCCGGGAGAACTTAGTGTAGTTTGTAAATAAAGGTTTGTAAATATAACCTGCCATATATATATATATATATATATATATATATATATGTATATATATATGGGGAAAACATTTCTGCAGCCACTTTAAATAAACTTCTCTACTGCTACCCTTTTTCACTAAGTACGACCGGTCGTACATTAAAATTGCATTTTCTCTCTCCGTCACGTCAGCCAACAATGTCTGAGGAAAGAGAAAAAAAGAACAGCTTTATTGTTATCACTAAGTACGACCGGTCGTACTTAGTGAAAAAGGGGTAGCTGTAGACAATCTTATCTAAAGTGGTTGTAGAAATACTTTTTCCTATATATATATATATAGGGGCAGGTTATATTTATAAACTTTTTGTTTACAAACTCTTACAAACTACATTAAGTATGACCGGTCATAATTAGTGTAACTTGTAAAAAAAGTTTGTAAACATATCCTAAACCCTAAACCCAAATTTGACACCTCTTCTGAGAGCCGTTAGATCAAAATAGATCAATAGTGTCACCTGCTTACAAATCAGAATCGTTGATCTTTTTTGATCTAACGGCTCTCAGAAGAGGTGTCAAATTTGAAATTTGACACCAGTGTCAAAGGATCCTACCTCTACCTATATATATATATATATATATATATATATATATATATATATATATATATAGGTTAAATCATTTATGTAGCCGCTTTACGTACAACAACGACAGGTGTATGGTTATGATTCCCCACATTTAATGCTTTCATCCTTTGTATGGTTATAATTCTCCGTATTTAATGCTTTCATCCTTTGTATGGTTATAATTTTTCGCATTTAATGTTTTCATATGTATATGGTAAGTATTTGATTACTGCACATACAGCAGCTGCAGAAATGTAAA